TATTGGAGTTCTAGCATGTCTGGTACAGCAGCACTCGATGGTGTAACTTCACTCAGGCCACGATAGTTACTATTAGTCTCCACTCTCCGTTAGACTTTCACACTGGACATATAAGGCTATTAAAGGGTGAGCGGGTCCTACTGATCAATCCTTGGCTCTCCAGTCTATGGATCAGCTTATGGATGGGAATCAGGGAGTCTCAGTTGGTGCGATACTGCCACCGGTGCACTGTTGTGGTCACGACTGGCACTTGTTGTTTGACCTTCATCAACCCCACAACAGAAGGATTCTCTGAGAGACCAGGCAAGGTGGACAGCTGCTTAATTTCCTCCATCTCCAAGGCAGCGACACCAAAAGCCCATCAGTACCCTTTTGGATCTTTGAAGTACCCTCTTCTGAGCTAGTCTATGCCAAGGATGCACGGAGCCTCTGGACCAGTCACAATAGGGTGCTTTTGCCACTCCTTCCCAGTTAGGCTAATTTCAGCCTCCAGTAGAGTCAACTCTTGGGATCCTCCTGTAACTCTAGAAATACAAATGGGTTTCACCCCTTGATAGCTTGGTGGCATCAGAGTACACTGGGAACCAGTGTCTACTAGAGCCTTATACTCCTGTGGGACTGATGTGCCAGGCCATCTGATCCACACAGTCCAGTAAACCAGACTGTCCCTCTCCTCCACCTGGGTGGAGGCAGGGCCCCTCTAATAGTGATCACAAGATTCTTCTCTTATGTCTTGTAGAAAAGGATTAGAATTCCTTATAATAGAATTTGGAGTAAAATCAGCTCTTCCACCCCATCTGGAAGCTGCTCACCGAACACTGGAGCAGCAACTTTCTTGGGAGGATCATCCTTGACCATTGTTTTTCTCTTCAGTTCATGGACCTGTTCCTCCAGAACTGAGGTAGGTTTTCCATCCCACTTTCTCATGTCTTCTGCATGATCCCACAGGTAAAACCATAGGGTGGCCCACGGCATGTACTCCCTATATCCCTCCTCAGTCAATAGGGCGCCTTCTGTTAATAGCAGAGACGCGGGTTGGTACAGTTGGGAAGCTGGGTAGATCATCTTTTAATTGTTTGACGTCCTAGAACAGTTTTTCCAGAGCTGAAATGATGGAAGGGATGAGATTGTCTCCAGACTCTCAGAGTTGATGACTCACTTCATCCATTGTTGGTGGTGCTGCCTCACTCCAGGTCATTGATGCCAATGAGTGGGCATATGATGATGGCGCACTCTGTGTAAGTTTCTGCCACATGGGTTGTGTACATTCGACTCACAGTTGTGTACATTCGTCTCAGTTGTCTCGGTTTGTCTCTCTAAAGTGGCTAGCTAAAGACAAATTCATACAGTGATTTTAATTTTTATTATTAAATGCTATCAGACTGTGACACGCTTCTTCACTGGTCCTGCATCAGGAGACCAGTGAATGGGGAACCTGTAGGAAACACAGGGCATCTGAATAAACTGTCTGGTTTATCCAAGCTGTGTTGTTCAGAGATGTCTAAAGTTTCATGTTTATTTTTTTAAAGACAAAAAGCACTTGCCCTACTGTAAATATATAGCATGTAAAATTTATATAGTATGTAAATACAGCAAAGTTAAAATGGATTTTTACTGGAGTTATGTAACATGCAACGTGTCATGTGAATTGACAGATTTCAGAGTATATTTGATGCTCAAGAAATTAGATCTTCCTTTCAGCGGTAGGGGAGATGATTCTGTTGTTGTGACCCAGAGAAGATAAGTATCTTGGGACTTGTTAGTGGCCACACAGCTCAGGTGCTGAGCAAAGCCACCTGCCTGGCTCTTGCTGGCCCCTGCAGCCACAAAGGGCAGCACTGAAAACAAGGAGCAGAAGAACTACACGAGTTTCAGTGCAACAGGAAGGGAGAAGTTTGTCGTCCCCACAGGGCTTTTCCTCAGCATGGCCAACCTCTAACAGGTGCTGCTTTAGGCCACTGAGCAGCCGGTCTGTCTCAGTAGCTACCCCTGGACTTAAAGCCCTATAGTAAAAGGGAAAAACAGGTTGAGAGTTTCTTCTTCACCCGCATGGGTAGTACCTGATAGCCTGACATTTTCACAAGCCACTTTGTTTTACTGGCCTTGTGGCCAGTGGAAAGTTTGGGCCAGTTTCACTCCCTCTTAATTCTCTTACAAAGAACATTCAGAATGAAATATCATCACACACAAGAACATTATTCTGTTAGCTTTGGTAAATTAAAGAGCTATATTGAGCACCACAAATAGCTGTTTAAGATGTCGCATTTTAATGCTAAGAAATACTACGTTTCCTGCTACAATAGCCTTAGTTATACGTTACTCTCAGTAGTTATTCCTGCCGGATAGAAGAACTTCATTTAAATACAGCAGATAACTCCCAAGGCATTTCCTTCATGCTTCTAGGCAGGCATTCCCACCTGGTTAAATGAACAGATTTTCAGAAGGCAAGAACTGATACAAAAGTGCTTCATGGCTTATTAATGCTTTTGGAATCTCACATTTCTCTAGAAATACTTTATTGGCTGCTTTTCACACCCTTGCACTCCTTGGTACCACTGATTCTGGCTTATTTGTATTACAACTCTACTTGTACAGAGCTCAAACTGATGTATGCATTGCTCAAAAGCAAAACCTGAAGTTGCGGAACAGAAGACTTGAAACAGGTGATGTGAGCAGCTCCGAGATCACGCTGCTTTGCGAAGGCAGGACATATGACTCAAAATCATTTCTAGAAAGAGTTTAAATGCGTTCCATTAAGCAGAGGTATCTCCACACTGACACTTGTTCAAGAATTGTACCTCCGTTGGTTGAGTTTCACTCCCTTGAAAGTACTTGTATCTGAACAGCCATCCAAGCAGACCACAGTTCCACACTCTGGGGAAGATCTGAGGTGTAGAAAAGTTTACTTTGTCCTTTTCCTCTCAGCCTTTACCACAAACATGCAATAAGGCAGAACACTGTCAGGATGACACCCCATGCAAAACAAGGCACATCAGCAAGACTGGAACAAGCAACCAGCCTCTCCTTGACAGTCAAAAGGGGATCTGAAACACATCACCTTGGTAAGTCTGTGGCTTTGCCAGGCCCGCACGTTTTCCTGTCCTGTATCCCGAGCTGCTCTGCAACTCCAACAAGCAAAATTGCTTTGATAAAGCACTGGGTCTCCAAAGCGGTCACTGGCACAGTGGGCACGGCTCAGGTTCAGCAAGTTTGTGGAAAACTGCCTGCTACCAGAAGCAGTCCAAAAAAGCCACCCTGTGCCTCCAGCATGGAATTCGGGGCTTTCCCCTAAGAACAGTACGTGCGCTGGGAGTAGAAACGCATCGTGGTAAAACCGCAGCTCCCGAGCCATGAGCGGCGTTGTTCCTTGCTCGGCGAGGAGGCGGCGGCTCCTGCCGCCTCCCGCGGGGAATCGAACGCTTCGAACGGTTCCACTTCTGGCCGTCCTCACGTCCCGTCCGTTAGCTGCCATGAGCACAGAATCGCCCGGGGCCGCTCCCTGCTGCGGTCCCGCTTCCGAACGGCTCTCGAGGCGGGAGCCCGGAAAGCGACTCCCGGGCCGGGGCGGGCCGGGGCGGGCCGGGGCGGTCCGGGGCGGGGCGGGAGGGCGCTGAGGCGGTGCGGCGCTGAGGCGGTCCCGGCAGAGGGGTTGCCGCGGGTCTGCAGTGCCGAGGGGGGCTGGGTCGCAGCGTGAGGTGGAGTGAGAAGGGCGAGGCGAGGTGAAGCGAGGGATTCCTCGGAGCCGCGCTCTGCCCCCGCCTTCCGCGTCAGGGTCGCTTTGGTTTGGCTGTGTTTGGGCTCTTGTCGCTCCCGAGCGCGGACATGCTGCGTGCCGCGCCGGTCCGTGAGAGCGGCGGTGCCAGACTGCTTTTAGGGGCCAAAACCCGTCGGAAAGGCAGAGCGGGCAGTGAGCGGGTGGGTGCTTCAGGCCGGACAGTTCCATTTGGAACTGGTATTATGACGTCAACCGACTCTGAGCTTATCTGCGACCCGGGAGAAGCAGACCCTCAGACCCCGGTGACAAACTGGGCAGCCGCGCCCTGGGAGAGCAGAGAAACCCCTGGGCGGACGGAGAGACGGTCCCAGGGCGGACACAGACCCCCACCCGAACACAGACCCCGACCCCGACCCCGGAGCTGACAAACTCGGACCCCTTTGCTGCCAGGTAAGGTTAAAGGGATAATTACCTGCGGGTTTCCGGGGTTGGCAGCTGGATTACTTTTGGCGTGTGTGCATGGGGTTTTTTTTTTTGTGTGTGTGTGTGTGTGTGTGTGTGTGTGTGTTCGAGATGTTCCTTATTTCAAATTTGCACTGTGGAAGTGTCGTTTGCAATTTAGAGACATAGAAGTGCCTTCATGTCTCCATGTCTACCTGTAGTAGTTTTGTATTGCTCATTTCTACTTAGGAGTTTTTGTGTATGTTACTGTTTTACGATCACCGCTGCAAATGTTTTGTCATGAGACAAATGCGTAATCGCTACTCCCCACTTAAACGTGGTTTTGTGAGTGGGGTTTTTGGTTTGGTTGTTGTCGTTTGGGGTTTTTTTTTTACTGTTTCTTACCAGCTATTTAGTTCTTCAAGTTATTTCTTTGATACTGAGTGACAGAATTTCCTTCTGGAACGCTTCTTGATAGTCTTAAGTCAACCAGAACTCTTACCTCTGTTACAGATAGGAGCAATGTCTTCAAAGAGGAAAATACCTCCAATATTTAAAGAGCTGTCATCCAGGTGCCCCAACAAACGGCCTGCCAAGAAGACAACAGCATGCACCGCGTGTACTCGCAAACGAGTACGACCTGGGTTACATGCAGAGAAAGAACCGAGAGGTTCTGTGTATTCTAGAACCTCTGAAAAACCTAAGCCTTTTGGCCGGGAAGAGCTAAGTAAGTGTGTCTTCTGTCCTTCTCCCCTTTTCTTCAGAACAAAAACCCCAAAAGGTAGAAAACGCAGTTCTCATTTGTTGCACTGATGTAAGACAGGCTTGTGAGGAATAAAGCCTTCAGCACTAGGCTGCAATTCTGTGGGTCCCCTAAGGCAACTGAAGGGACTGGTGTTGGAAAACCTGTGGTTTTTTCTGTTTAAAAATCTATTTGTAACAATCGGTTTTGAGGAGGTTTTTATAATACACAGACTTAGCCAGGTCTTCTGTGTTGTGCAGGGAAAAGTACGTTTTACCTTTACGGCTTCCATTATTCACAAGCCTTTGAATGCTAACCCTGCTCAGGAAGAGGTCTGGTATCTGTAGGGTTACCTGCTCAGCTAGTTACTCGCTTCCTTTTCCATCCTAGTTCTTACAATCTGTTCATTACGTGGTTTTGCGTGGTGGAGTAGACCTGGTTCCTCTGGGTGCTCCTGCAGAATGCTCCCTTTTAAACATCCTTTTTCAAACAGAAACAGTAAATATTTTTTGAAATCTAATTTTCTCGCAGTTGTTAACGATGGAATTGCCCCACCATGTAAAATTCTTTTTCCACCTGAGAAAATCTGCATGGATTGGCAACAGCCGCTGAATGTTGGAGCTGGACTGCAGAATCTGGGCAACACGTGTTACGTTAACGCTACTCTCCAGTGTTTGACGTACACACCTCCTCTGGCCAATTACATGCTGTCTCGTGAACACAGCAAGTCATGTGAGTACTTTCTAACCTTATTATAAATATGTTGGGCAGCTGCAAAGGTGAAAGAACAAGAGTGATTCTGTGGAGAAAACGGGTGGCTTTCCCGTTTTACCTGTAGAAGCCGGCTTTGCACGCCACCTTAGTGGTCTTTTTCAACCTAAATGATTCTGTGATTCCACGCTTATTTAACAGGAAGCTCAGCATGGCATATCAAGTGCATTTGTTCATTTAATGCACAATGGTAAAATTGCAAATGAAGACCATTTCTTGCCTTGTGTGGATAACGAAGCCTCTTTTCATATCCTTCTAGGTTCTATTTTGACAAAGGTACATGCATGCTTTTTGGGTTGGCATCTTAGTGTTTATTCCTAGAAATTTAACTGTGTTTTTCTGACATAGATCAAAATGTTTCCAGTTAAGAACCCTGTTGCAAAAAGGAGGGCAGAAATACTTATACATACCTTCCTTTAATCTGTCCTTTCTCCCAGAGGATTCTTAGCTCTGTGTCCTGTAGCTCACCTAACAGCAGTATGCTGAAAATCGCACGCGTTCTCTCTTAGCGCTGTGTCATCAATATCAATAGTGGTTTTCATGGATATTGTTTTTTTGATTTTGTTCTTTTTTGGTAGCAACGCTTATATGACTAGACTGTGTTGCTTCTTTCACTCTTCAGGTCACGAAAAAGGCTTCTGTGCGATGTGTACATTGGAAGCTCACATTCACCAGGCCCTGTTTCTCTCTAATAATGCTATCAAACCTGTATCTGTCATCAGTGGCCTTAAAAGTAAGTCATTTCAGATGGTTTTCTTTTGATATATTTGGTAACTTTTCAAAGCACTGTCTGATGCATAGAAACGATTTTGATACTTTTAGAAACGTGAGTTTTCTTTCATTTCCTAGGAGATAAATATAACCACCTTCTTATTTATTAGGTATAGGAGAGCATTTCCATTACGGCAGTCAAGAGGACGCACACGAATTCTTGTCCTTCACTGTTGATGCTCTGCAGAAAGCTTGCTTGAATGGAAGCACCACGTACGCGTAAACAAATTATTTAACCTTTAGATTGTTCTCTACCCCCTTTTACTCCTTTCTTTACTATACTACATTAGAATGAATGTCCTTGGTAAAAACTGTTTGAAGAGTTAACTCTGAGCCTCGCATCATCAGAGGTCTGTTTCATCATTTCTTTCCAGATGGGATCCATCTTCTGAAGGCACCACACTTATTTATCAAATATTTGGAGGATACCTAAGATCCCAAGGTACTTGTTAAAAATCTTCCTGTCCTTTGAACTGGTCTGTGTCCGTTTGTCTGTAGTAAAGGACTTTGTGCTTTGACTAAAGTAAAATGTATGAAGACTTTAAATTTGTCCGGTCAGTGTTAAGCATTTGTATTTTGATTCCAGTAAAATGCTTGAACTGCAAAGCCGTTTCTGATGCATATGAACCGTTCCTCAGTATTACGTTGGATATAAAGGTAAGATGTTTTGTGAATATGGGTTGAGCTGTATAAGGACCTGTAGAGCTTTCCGGATAAAGGCATTTTACTTAAAAATACACACTGCTAAAAGGAAAGAGCTTGGTGTTGGGTGGGAGTGGACTGGGCTTTGGTCTTGTGTTTTGGAAGGCATCGAGATGCTCTCCATGTTTGCAGTGGGTTTAAGCTGTAAAAACAGTAATTACATCTACACAAACACCTCTACTCTCACAATTCTCAGTTATTCTGCTTCAGCGTCTATACCTCTATCGTTAGGCTGATGGGTTTGACTGTTCTCATTATTGAGGCCACAGCATAGTACAGATGCTGTCTGTGGCACTGCAAACTTTATGTTTTTATTTCAAAGTAGCATGGTTTCCACAGGAGGTAAATGCTCAGCGTACTCTGAGGTTTCTGCCTCCTTCACAGTGGTTGCCGGTTGACAGTAGGTCGCTTGAGGATGAGCTAGCAAGGTTCTCCCATTAACTACCAGGAAGTGTTTGAAATTTTGCATTTCCAGTGACTCAGTGCTCTACTTTCTTATTCATCCAGACCGTTACGTCTGTCACCAAGGCTCTGGAACAGTTTGTGAAACCTGAACAACTGGGCGGAGGAAACAGCTATAAGTGTAGCAAGTAAGAGTCTTACTAATTCCATCTGAGTCCAAGGGAAGGCATTTAATGTGTCACATGAATATTTGGAAATAGAAGTCTTGTGGCCATTAGCTCATATTAGACTTCTATTCCTACTGCTGCCTCCACTGGGGTTTATTAGCCTTCGTCAGTGTGAGGTTGCACAGAAATATTCATGTGGCCAGAAGTTAAAGGGGATGTCTGCTAAGTAGTGGTGAGCTGAAGCACGGAGCTAAGGACAACGATTTGGGGTGGGAGGCAACCTCAGCTGGCTGAAGGTCCTAGTGTTCCCTGTGCAACAAAGTGGGATTGGGTCTCAGTGCATGTGAACGGTGGTCGTTAACATGAGCAGCCTCTAATGGCTCACTAAAAAAAGTCTTGCATGGTTCTCATGCTGAATTGTTGGGAAGTCTTTCCTTTTTGTCATTAGGATAGAGGCTCGGGTGTTTGCTTGGCTATGAAAAGATAAGGTTCTGAGTCCTTTGTTTTGGAGAGCTGTCTGCTTACATGCTGTTACCTTCTGTCTATTAAGAAACCTGAAGTGCAGCGTGTGGTCATAAGCCTGTGCGACAGATGAAAACTTGTTTCAGTTTTGGGAGGGGGAAGAATTTGCTGTTAAACCTTTGTCTGTGCTTGTTTTTAAGGTGCGAAAACATGGTTCCTGCCTCCAAGAGGTTCACAATACATCGCTCCTCCAAAGTTCTCATCCTATCGCTGAACAGATTTGCAGATTGTACTGGTGGCAAGATCAACAAGGTATATTTGCAGCTGTAAAGCAGCTTTATCTTTTTGGAATGGGAGATTTCCCCAAGAAAATAATCATTTTAAACAGAGGAAGTTTAGACTGGATGTAAGGAAGAAGTTCTTCACTGTTAGCCTGGTGAGGCACTGGAACGGGTTGCCCAGGGAAGTTGCGAATGCTCCATCCCTGGCGGTGTTCAGGGTCAGGTTGGACAGAGCCTTGGTTGGCATGGTTTAGTGGGAGCTGTCCCTGTCCATGGCAGGGTGTTGGAACTTGATGATCTTAAGGTCCTTTCCAACCCTAACTGTTCTATGATTCTATGGTTTAAAAGTTGTTAACGTTTGCAGGCTGTAAGTATAATAACAATAGTCTAAGAAAAGTCAGTCTAACAACTCTGGCTTACGGTAACCATGAGAGTATGCCTCAGTCTTAGAGCTAATTCTGCAGAAAGCAGTTCTCTGCAGCTTAAATTATGAAATATTGTTTCTGAGAATAGGTATTTTTAAATAAATGAAGAATATATATTTGTGTGATCCTAGCCTGTGTTTTTAGAAGGGTTTTTCTCAGGCTGTTCCATGAAGTGTTTTGGGGTAATTTTTGAATCTTCCTGTTTTGTGTTTAGCATGTAGAATACCCTGAATATTTGGATCTTCGAGCATATATGTCCCAATCAACGGGAGAACCACTCGTGTATTCTTTATATGCAGTTCTTGTTCATTATGGTTCCAACTGCAGTTCAGGACACTACATCTGCTTCATAAAGGTGGGTATCAGCTTGATTTCTAACAGGGTAAAATAAACCAAGAAAATAAATGTTACTGGCAACCACCGTTTTGATGGAGAAAGGTTGAATGATGCGTTCTGTTTGATTTGTTTGGTACGTTTTGTGCTGTCGTGTTCCGCCTGTGATGTCATTTGGACCACATGCATTTTGTCTGAAGATACCACTGTCTTTTGTTTGCAGGCCGGCAACGGATTTTGGTATCAAATGAATGATGCCATAGTGGAGCGTTCTGATATCAAAACGGTTCTCAATCAGCAAGCTTATTTACTTTTTTATATCAGGTAATACCAGCTACGCAATCTGTTCAGAATATATTTACTTTCCTGTTACTGATACTTTTCTTTTTTTCCAAGTATTTTTCTTTCTCTCCTAGGAAAAGTTTAGTGTTTCTGTAATTCAGTTCTGTCTAACTTGAACTTACCGCAGTCATTTACTATTTTTCATTGCTTGGCGTTAAACTGGTGTGCTTGTGTACTTGCTCTGTATCTGCTCTATGTAGCTGGCTAATATAGGAGAAATTACGCCATAGATGGTGTAAGGGTGAGTTGTTGCTCTGACAAGAATAGTCACTGTAGGGAGACCATTGTCTGTTTTTTAGTTTGTAGTCTTGGTTGAGTCTTTTGTGTATGTCCTCTGTGTCACATCGTCTGTTCTTGTAAAATTACAGATGGGGTTTTAATCTAAGAATAGATTGAAAGAAAGACTCTAAACTGAGATCACTGTTATTTTTCCAAGGCGCTACGATTTGACACTTGGAGAATGTGGTTTTTACTTACCAGCACCGTCTTATCCCCTTTCATTCCTTGGTCAGCGGGGGCCTAATAGTAAGCAGGCTGGATTTATGGGACCACGATTTCCTCCTCGTATGATTAAGGTAATTTGCAGGGAGCAGATAATGGCACCAAATTGACAATGTTGTTTTCTTTTGATGGGGGGGGGGTGGGGGGGAGGGTGTTGTTCTATAGCATCTGAATTTTATTTTCCCTCCCACACTGCAGCTTTCTTCACAACCATCATGCAACAGCCAGAATTATTCAAACAGTGGCTAATCCTAAATTGTGCAGCCACGCTACTTCATTATACTTCCAACTCAAATTGCTTTCTAAAGCACTGAGAGCTACGCTTTTGAGACACTTGAAGTAGTCTGTTATTTCTTGATGATGATGATGATGATAAGAACAACAGTAGTAGTAATAATAATAATTAAATATCACTCCCCCAGTGTTACTTTAGCTGAGACAGTGAAAACGATTTGTCTTGGTCCTGAGTACCGCTGCAATTTATTGCAGTGTTTTTCAGGGCATCTTTAAAGGGGAAAATAAACATATTTGGGAAGAGTTTTAGTCAATGTTAAGTTGTTTGAGTGGGTTTCAAAAAATGAGGCTCATTTGATACCAAGATGCAGTAAACCAAAAGCAGCAGGAATTAAACACTTGTTGGACTTAGATTTATATTGGAAGTGGGGTGTTTTTCTTCTTAGGTGGTGAGGCAATTTCTAGAAATATTTAGTAGGAGAATTTAATGTTTTAATAAGTGCTGTGTGATTGCAAAGGTAAGTCCTACACTCGGCTCTGACGCCACAGTCCCTTCCAGTGCAGAGTCTTCAGGAAAATCTGAGGCGTCGAATGGCGTGTTTAAAATGAATTACAGCATATCTTCCAATGGAATTGTAATTTGGAAGGTGGTCGGCACATTGCAGAATTCCCATTCTGTCTGTGAGAGTGCTGAAGAAGACAGATCCCATCATGAGCTGCCAAAAAATGATTCACTAAATGGTGCTATTAGTTTAGATACTGGATCTAAACAAAAGGGACTGAATCTTGATGATTTTACTTGCCAAGTCCAACCTGATAAACCTTCTGAGATTTTCTTTGCTAAAACAAATGGATTGCTTGAACCAGTGAGTTGTTTGTTCCATCTAGAACTTCTCACCTATGGTGTGTTTAGTATTCAGGAGCATTAAAATGTTCGTAATTCATGTGAAATACTGTGAAAACAACAGCACAATTTCATCGTTAACACTTTGTGCTATTGTCCCGTTAGAATTTGCAGAGCTCAACTGGCACGTGAGAACCTGTCAGCTTCAGAAAATTTCACCTGAGATAGTACTTCCTAAGTTTCATAAATATATTGGGGGGGGGAAGGGGTGATGTGTGAAATAGCAACGGTGCATGTAAGGCAAAGTGATCTTGTTTAATAACTAATGAGGAAATTTTGCAAACCGTTTTCTACTAAAGGTAGTATTTTTTTGTCTGTTAATGTCTGTGTTTTAATTGTAGATACCTGTAGCTGAGTCACCGAATCCTCAAGAAATAATCTTGGAGTCCCTGGTCTACAACATGTTGAACATGTCTCTGAACGTGTTGTCAGAGAAAGCAAGGTACATTGAGTATTCTCTGATGAAAACAAGATTTCATACAAGTTTATCATTGTTTTACCCATTTACTAATTCTATTTAATAGAAAGCTTTAAACCAGTACAGCAAATTCCACGCTGTACATGTAGGGTTGCAGACATGAGCACTGAACAGGCATTATTCTGATACTAAATACAATCAGACGCCTCCCAGAATCGTTCTGTGTCTTCATAGAATTATTTTCCTTTATTTTTACGATTGGATTTTTTTTCCTGATGTCAGTTCCCACCTCCTGCCCCCCCCATTTGGGGAGAGAGGGA